AAACTGATTTGCACCTTAAATCTCACACTCAGAAAACATTAAGTAAACTACGCCTATTTTACCAGGAAATTTCTGATAGAGCAAATATAGGAGATAACATTAGTAATTCTTTATGCAGTATCTTTATTTTTTCTTCATTTTTTCTTCCATCTTGAGACCTAGGTTACAGTAACAGACTGATAAGTGCTTTAGAAGTGCTGAAGGGAGTTTACATTGATTAGACAGATTTTCACAATGGCTCTTGCTAAAGGCAGTTTTCAAGGGCATAGTAAAATGTTGAGTTTTTTTTTAAATTGTGTTACTTGAAAACTGGACGTAATTCTCAGTGATTGAAGCTGACAGAAGAGGAAAAGATGATGGCAAATATATTCTCTGGTGGCATGCTGTCATCCACAAATGTTTTCAGTGACCAAAGCAGTGACAGAAATATGAAGTGCTGATTACAGAAGTTGGGTTGCCATCGGTGCAGTCATCTACCACTGCGCACCAACACTTAGGATTATCAGTTACTTACAGGTGATGCAGTTTCAATGATAAAATCTTTTCTCAAAACGACCAGAACATTAAAAAAACTGTTGTTTCACAGTGTGGACCATGTCTGCAGATTTCTTTAATGTAACAGTCCAGCGATTCTTCCTTCTCAATTCCTTAATAATTCAAATCCTCAGTTATCAGCAAAATGAGCGTGATGATTTCACTTTCCTGTTTCAAGATCCATTTGATGTTTTAAAGTAACAAGAACATCCTCCAGTGCCTGGTATTTTGAAGATTCTGAATAATGAAAAACCAATGAAGTGATGGATTTACAGACCTTATAAATCTTGCAGTATTCATTAAATGAGCCTGGAGATCCTTGTCCTGCAAATATTTATGGAACTGCTTAAAATATAAGGTGCATTTATTAGGGTTTGTAAATGCAAAGAAGAGTCTAACACAACACTAGGATCTTAACTCAGAGTTTAGTGGTTGCATTTTTTCCATCCATTATACCTACATGTAAACTGTGCAGAGCAGCAGTCAAGTGTGATATATATTTAGGAAAAAGGAGTGATGTATCTTCACTGTCCAGTTCAGGGCATTTCAGCCATCTGATTTAGATGCAGCTCTAAGTATCTGTGGTAGAAATGTAAGTTTCTGAAATAACTAATTCATTTTAGACAAGGACCTCTATCAGGATCTCCACTAGTTGTCTGTTCTGGCCTAAATTAATGTGTAATCCAGAGACATTTAAAATTAAATAGGTCAAATTATTCATATTGTTAAAGTACATCTCAATCTGATTGTTTAGAAATAGCAATGGAAAAATGACTGTTATCGGTGGAGAAACTTAGAGCCACTCAGGAAAATCAGCCACCAAAATTGACGTCATATAAAGTCATAATTTTAAAAACAGATCTACAGATGAGACTTAAGATTGTTACAGAGTGAAATATGTATTTCTTTGTTCCTGTGAATAATGTGCTTGTTTATTAAGTAGGCAGAGCAGGAATTGTGATGTCCTTAATTTCTCATTTCTCTGCTTGTCATTTTCTAAATGACATTGTAGGAGACTTCACTGTTGTCACCTAGCAACTATGAAGTATTTTTTTGGAAGAAAGAAATAAATGTACTTTTGTATATGTCCCTTCCAATATTTTCTGTTCTTATGAATTTTAAATGAGAAAAGGGAATAATTTTAAAAATCAGTATTTGCAATGATTATCTCCATCTCTTTTTTGAGATATTGCAGTTATTTTCTAGTCAGAGGGTCACAGTGAATTAGCCCTTGGCAAATATTTAATTTTTAATGGAAACCACTGCTGCATTGAGTTAAAGCAAGTAAAAGCTTCACATTTATCCTAGAACGATCCTGCTGCTGCATCCATTGACCAGTTCTCATGTTGCATGTTCTGCAGTTCTGTATGTTTCCACTGTTCTCAGAAACAGTGTTCTTTCCTGATTATGGAAATGCATTCTAATAACCGAATAACAATAGATGTTGAATACTGAAATGCCTGCCGCAACAACAGCTGCTTTGAAGACTGTTTCATTTTCACATAATTCATGGGGGCTGGATAGCTAAAGTTTTGTGCAATTTGAGTTAAAGAAATATGTATTTAAAATAATTTGAGAAATGTCCTACACTCATTTTCAGTTCTCCATTGCCCTTGGTGGAACAACACTGTTTGGGAACGTATTTCTTCCTAATAGTCTGCATTTTTAAGAAACTTTAAGGAATGAAATAGGATGAATAGCCACGAAGATAATGTGTGGGCTGCTGTGCAGCAGCATCCCCAGAGAGTGATATGTCAGAAAAAAACATTAAAAAAAATTCTAGAATGAAAAACATATTTCTCAGAAGTAAGGAAAGATCTTGACAGATCATCTGTTATGAGGTATCTGCTCTGTTCTTTACTTGTGGGACAAATGGGATTTCTCCATATAATTCATTGTGGATTATCGTGTTGCAGTTTGTGTAATGGTAGCACGTGGGGAATTTAGGAAATGACACTCCAGCTGTCTTTTACAATAACTGTTTCTTTTTATGCTTTCACACTGTCATATCTTTTCCTTCAAATTATCCTTTCTGTACACCTCTCACTGAAATATGTGTGTGCATTCCAAAAAGAGTTTTAAAAAATGGGACCCTGCACAAAGTCTGTTCTCTCTGTATGATAGATTTTATTTCAGTCACAAACTTGTTGATTAAAAAAAAAGAATAATCTGCATCTATAGCTCTTTTTCTATAATGCATGCTTGATAAGGAAAATGAAATCAATATATAGGAACTGGAAACGTAAATCTGTTTCCTGGTTTTCATTTTTGATATAGTTGTATTCTGACAAACAGTTTTATCTACGTTGAATATATATTGTTAGGAGATATTTTATCTGTAGGACTCGTTAAGCTTATCTTTGTTTTCAGAAGTTCCAAACAGGTGGGAGAAATTGAATCCATGTATTTGCAGATGAGAAGCAGATGAGCTGCCCAGACAAGTGCATTGCATGTTGTGTATCTTTCCTGAATTCAGTACTGTAAAATTTTTTCCCAGTTGTCTCTAGAGATTTACTCTTACTTGATTTGTTTAAAATAATTTTGTGAAAGTTCATTATTCTGGGACAGGGAGAAGCAGGGAGTCCCTGAGAGTATATCTGAGTCCTCCATATTTCAAGGTGTAGACTTGGAAGCTGTATTAGCAAGACTCTTTCTTTCTAATACCACATATAATGGTTATTGGATTAAGCTCATAACCACTTGCTACACAGTGTCTTCTGTGAAGAAGTCTCTAGCACAGGGACTGCAAGGAAACTAGAATTGTCTGTGTCTTCACTACCTGAAAGGCAAAATCCTGATGAAGATACTCAGCCAAGTTTTAGATAGAACAAACAGTTTAGTTTTTTGTTCTGCCTTCTGGGGCTTTGTTGATGAACATTTCCATTAAAGCATTCAAATTCTCTATCTTGGTAGGTAACTGCATTTTCCAGAGCTGTATCCAAAGGCAGTATCCCATGATTAAGAAAAATATCACTAATAGTAGTGAAAAGTTTAACCATTTCAATTTGCAAACTTTAAATTTTTTTTCTAAAGAAGTGCAGAAAACTATAGAGCAAGCAAACTGAAACCATTTGATACGGCCTCTGTTTTTCTCACGTTGCTCTGTACAAACTTCTTAGAATTAATCCATGTATTTCCAGGAGTTTTCAAATTGTACAATTGTATCAATTTAATGAAAATAGTAAATTTGTTTTAGATATCAAATGTCCCCATGTTTCATTGGCTTCAGAAAGAGATCGAGGATTTATTTTTACTTTTATGCTCTTTAATAATGGAATTGTTGGGATTTGAACAATAATGCATTTCAGATATGAGGACAGTGTCTTCTATTTCATGGGCATTATCTACTTTAAACCACTCAGAAAATACTGAGGTCCTGTGAGAGGCACAAGCTTCTTGATGTTTTCCCTTATCTTAGGACTTAGCCATTTCTGACTTCCGACCGATACCAAAAAAAGCAGATAATGTGCTTTCATTTTCCTTTGGAATCAAAGATTAAATTGTACTGATCATTCCAGAGAAAAGATCAAAACATGAGTTAAGGCTGGGCATTGTCACGATAGAATTCCGCTGGTTCACTTGCCAATTAAATATTTTTACTCCACAGTGAATATTCCAGTATGGAATGATAGAATGCGTCTACATTAAATGAGTTAGAGACAGGGTGATGTCATGGTAAGCTGTCGACAGGTGAAAATCAAGAAATTATGTAAATACTTGTGTCATAAACTTACTTGCTGCCTGTATGCTAGATTGCATGCTTCATTAATGCAAATATATATTTTTAGGACTTCAACTTTCTCATTTTTTATTGAATTTATTAACTACAGCACAGAGGTTGAGTGAATACTAGATAGATTATATCAGTCAGGAAATCATATCATTTTTATTCTCTGGCAAAAGATCACCTCGATGGATTAAGTTATGTTTTAGAAAAGATACATATGTGCTAGATTAATTCACCTTTTTTTAATGCCTAAATGTGTTTTGATGCATGAACTATCTGCCAAGAAATAAGTAAAACTTGGGGATATGTCAAAAATAAAGCCTGTTAGTACAGTGTATAATTCTGCACCCAAATACTGCAACTCCAGCACTGATGACGAAGCTCTTTCTGCTTCACCTATGCGAATAAGCAGAACTACACAGAGAATTTGGATAGCACAAGTTGAAGATTCTCTGTGTTACAAGCATGCAACTTTCAAAAGATTCACAAACACTTCACATGCAAATAATTCTTCATACTGTTATGCAAATTATTTCATGTCAAATTTTTGACAATATTTGGAGCTATGCATAAGTACCATTTAAATAGAACTATGTTTTTGCTCAACAAAAGAATCAACTAAATGGTGCTTTAAACAACAATACCCATGAGTACTGTTTGCCTTTCTCCTTGGTTTATCCATAAGGTAACTTGCTGCATACATTTCTTAGTGTCACTTTGCTTCCTTTTCCTTTTTTAGAGTTTCTTTGAAGGACAGTCTGCACCGTGGGATTCAGCTAAGAAAGATGAGAACAGAATGAAAAATAGATACGGGAATATCATTGCATGTAAGTGTTGACAACATAATTGTGCACTGTGTTAACTTGTCTTCGGAACTGGATAAGAGTGGCCACCAGCCTCTTGCTTGCATTGAGCTTATATTTCTTTTCTTCAATTAAGAACATAAAAGTGAGGGAAGAAGTTACATTTTTTTTAGAAAACTGTCAGATTTAATGTATTTTTCCACTATCCTACTGTATACCTTCCATTCTGTAATTACCATTTCATTAATGTAAATTGACATGCTTAACCAGTGCTCAGCTCTGACTGCTCCCATACTGCTCTTGGCAACTTAGTGGAAGAACAGTCATGGTGTCATCGGTTAATCTCTTGACATTGGGTTCTGGATGTTGAAGGAACGGACAATACTGCTGCTTAAGTATTTCTTGATAACCGGGACAGACATTGTAAGCTACCCTATTAACAGTCTCTAGGGAAAAAGACAGAATACATGTATTTTACTGTGAAAACTGCTAAACTTGATGAAGATTAGATATGCTGATAATCCCAAAACCTTAGTGGATGATCATTTGTTTTGATGAGCGACCCCTAAATCTGGCATTATGAGATTGCAAAATACTGTGGCAAAAGATGCTGTAAATGAACACCAAGTCAGAAAATAGCATGCAATTTACTGAAAAAGGAAATGAAATTTTCTAGGGAAATATGAATAACATTATGAGCTGGAGCATATGTAAAAGGTGTTAACTAGTCTGGTTTTACTTGCTTCTCTGCAGGCAATCTTTAATGTATAACAAACTTGCTATGGTGAGAGACGTAGCAATACGTTAGACGGCTATCACCACTTATGTATAAATACTGAAGATGTAAAAAAAAAAATTCCAAAGAACATTCTCTAGCTTTACGTTTACTATTCTTTTGTGACCTTCTATTTCCAGTCCAAGCCTGTGACAGTAAGTCTTTTAGTCATTGTTTAGCTTTGTTGCCTGCTCTCTAATGTCACTTTATACATTACCTTTCACTTTGACTCCCTTTGGCTGAAGTAAACAGGAAACTTACAGTACTGTATGTCTGAGCAGAGGAAGTAGTGAGTAGCAAAGAGAAAGCAAGTAAAAGATATTAGATACACAAATCAATGGCAATTACCAGTAATACTGAAGGCTCTCTGAGAGAGCTAACGTTACTCTGATCATTTGGATCTCAATTTACTTTTCATGTCGTGTTTGTCTCACAGAAGGAGTTAGTGGAATTGTTATCAATAACATTACCTATTTATGTTGGTATGAAAACATAGATAATGCAAATTAAAATTCACTGGAGTAAAGGGCAGTATCTTAAGAGAAGCTGAAACTGCCCACAGCTTGTCATCTATTAAAGAGACATATGGAAATGGAGTAGCTAACTGTTTAATTATGCTGTATGGTTTTCTGCTAATAAATGATTGCTTAGCTTCAAGTCTGAGAATACAATTTTAGTGGTCCACTTTTGAAAATCCACCCCACAGAATTGTTTCAAGTATTGACTGTAGCTTTTAAAACATTTTACTAAATTGCCTTTTTATACTGTTTTTAAAGAAGTAAAAATACTGTAGATGGCTTAGATGCCATCAATTATATGATTATAGTGAAATGTGTATTTTTTTTGTAAAAAGTTTAATGTAATTTTTTCCATCCATTTATCCTCTTTGTTTAAATTTTCCCCAAGACACTGCTGTTACATTATTACTTGTAGTCGTTACTGTTCTCTGAGGAAACTAAAATAAAAGCACCAAGCTGCAGCAGTGTATGAGCTTGTCAAAATGGCAACATGCTTTACATCACCTAAGTGATGTGCATTTAATTGGCTGTAGGCATACCCAACCCTCTGTATGAAAGTAACTACAGCTTGTGAGCCTCTGTATCAAGAAGCTGAATCATGACCACAGTCCAATGACCTGCACGAAATGTGTTTCTTCTGTATTGAACACAGAAGGCTTTGTGCTTTCTCGTTAACAAATAAAAACAGAATCTAAGCTAAGAGAATCTAGCTAAGCTAGCAGAATCTTTTTAACTCAAGAAATATTTGGTGTCTGTTTTAATAGTGTAGAATTATGAATTTGTTAAAATCTATTGCTTTTCTACAGGAGAGATATTGAGGTAATTTCAAGATGAGGGGGGTTACGAATTTATCTTTACCTAACCAAAGATTGACTCAGTGAAAAGAGAATATTGATCACAGCTTTTAAAAGCAGCTAAGGATTTTGGCCGAGACATTTCGAAAAGGCTTGATTAGCAAACAATTAGCGAGGCATGTCCCAAAAAAGTGTCACTGCCTAAGCATGCTAATCAGCTGGCTACTCAAGGGGCCTGTTAGAGATCACAGGCTGCAGACTGGCATATACATGGTGTTGGTAACATGAGGGGAGCAAAAGTGGAGGGGAGCAAAATCATTACTTGTTGCCACTTTCTACCAAGACAAAGGGATTCTAACATTCAATTCATTTTGAAAGATCAAGTGATCAGTGCACAATTGAATTTGATAGATGGGTAACAAAATAACAAGCTGAAAAAGAGAATATTCAAAACCTAGAAATTGTTAAGAGCAATCTGAAGTATATAGGAACAAAATATCTTCCAAATCTAGACAGTTAACCTCAAGGCTGTAGGTGGAATGTACATGTTGGAAGGATATGTGGTTTCTGTACCACTTAGGCTTATACTTGGTGTAAACACAGGTATATACACAGAAAAACATTTTGTTGACTGAAGAAAATTTTCTGGTTAAGAAGTGCTGCTACACAGCATGGAGTTGCGTGAAGTTCTCAAAGAAATTTAAAAAAAAATTACTCCAGCTCCACAGCATGTGGATGAATGTTGGAATCTACGTTATTTCCAGAGTACCCAGAATCTTTGGTGAAAATGCAGGACATATGAGAACAAAAAAGGCCAAAAAGATTATATGAAGATATAGTTATTAGTTATGAAGTAATTTATTTAGTTTTGTGTAATCTGAAGCATAAGTAACTGCAAGGAGAGAATAGAGTAAAATGAAACAACAGAAAAAGTAAAGATACTTACATGGTATGTATCAGTCTAAAAGAAATAGCAGGAGGTCATATTTTTAAGCTGTTGCTTAATGGAAAATTTAAGTTTGATGGGTCCATGTAGCTCAGCAACATGCAAGTCATCAAGGACAGGATCTAGTTGCCTGAATATAGGCATGCAGTGCCATTTAGTGCTAGTGGTGGCAATGGTGATGAGGAGACGGTTGGACTAGATGATCTGATAGGTCGTTTCCAACCTTGTGATTCTATGATTCTATGATTCTATGATTTCAGGTGACTGTGGACATTAAAAAACAGTTGTACTGTTCCATACTGGCAGCGTAAGGCTGGTCTGTGTATAGTGGCATGAGTGCTTGTGTTTGAACAGTCAAATTCAGTGACCTAAGTACTTCATGAAATATATAGATAGACATTTTTATTAGCCTGAGTTTTCCTCATAAGAATGCTTTTAAGGAAATGATGCATGAAATCATGAAAATATGGATGAAGACATACCATGAGTCCAAGCAAGCTTGACTTCTAGAGTCTATTGACTTCAGTAGAAGTTGGATCAGATCCTGAAATGATAAAACAGCAACCATATCCAAAGATTAGAAAGTTTCTAATGTAGTATCTTAAGTAAGATGGACTTTTAGAATTACAAGCCTTTGAGCTAAAGCTCTGTTCTGAGAAAACTGATAAATTGCTTAATTAAGCAGAGAATAGCACGGCACTTGTGTAGCTTGATAAGGTCAGACAATGATAGGTTATGTAATGGAACATTGCATCTCTATAAATTTTTAGTCTTGGAAAAGTGAATAAAAAGGCTGAAAAGGATGACCTGATTAACTTAATTGATTTGAATATTCCTACATCCTTGGAAAAACTCATTCTTAAAGACTGTTGGGTGATGTAATCATAGCAGACTAGCAGAATATTAGCTGTGCAGTACCGAGGGCTGCAAAGCTGTGAAGAATATATCTACAGCTATGCCCTTGCTGTCTCCCAAGGGAATCCCAGGGAAGACAAGACTTTGAGATGTGTAGTCACTGAGACTTGGAGCATAAAAGGTTGAAATCACTAATTTGCCTCTTCCTTTCCTACTCATCCATTTGAAAACCTTTTTACTTGTCACTGTAAAACAATGTTGTTTTAAGAACCACTTGCCCTCTCTTTCCTCCTCCACACTGTGGGCAATCACGCTACTTCTGATAGCTTTATAAGCTACTTCATGTTCCTTCATTAGTTTTTGTTATTTGGTAGCACTTTTTATAAGTTAAAAAATATTAGCTATTGAAAACATGGGTGACAAATTTCTCTTGTGCACTAGTGCTTATTTACATTTACAAGAAAATAATGATGATCAATAAGACTTGTAGTTAGTTGTAAGTCAGATAGCAAATGGCCTTCAAAAACAGTAATACATAAGTGTGTAATCAGCACAAGTTGATAGTAAACAAAGCAGCGGTAAAGTGGCTATTGACTGTGTCTCCATCTTTGAGTTGATTGACATCATACTCTTAAATATCTTCAAAGTATTGTTTTATCAACAACTTGTGCACATTCTAGAATAACAATAGTATTTAGTCACTTTTGAACCAAGAGAAGCATATTCCAAATTCTTGAAGAAGCCCTGCCAGCTTTCTGAGATTCCTTTACAGGGGGATGTAGCCTCTAGCACTTCTTAATCACTTCTGTGGAATCATAAAGAAAATGAGGCAGCTGACAGGAAATAAATTCATACCCTGGAGTTTTGGATTGGAATTTGGAAATAAGAGTTGGAAGTGTTTGCTAATGGGTAGAATTCCTGGATAGATACAGATGGCAACCACGGAGCAAACCTCAGTGACAAAGTCATTATCTGACTGCTTGGGTTTTGTTATTACTTTATTTTGCTTTCTCTTATGGAAACATAATGAGTTTTTGTTTGAAACTGTGAGTTGACAGTATGTCTTATAGAAGAATTTAAATTTATTTCGAGTACTGGCATAAACACTTCCAAATAACTAAACCATAGAAAACTTCATGTTAATTAGCAAACTGACAAAAGGTATGATGGTGTTATCAAGGCAAAGAAAAATAGTTGCAAAGGATTGCACATTAGAAATATTTAAAGTGTTCAGATTGAAAATGAAAGGGGATTTGGAAAGCCTCATGAATGGTCAAAATTAAGGTTAAATGTATATGCAGTACACTAATGGACAAAGAAAACCAACCATGGACTTGCCAAGAATGACATATTATTTTTCTTTAACGTTAAGATTTTGATGTCATATTCGTTTCTGAATGTCTTTAGTTACCTTATTTTTCTCTCCGCTGTTTGTGTTTCAGATGATCATTCTCGAGTGAGATTGCAGCCCATTGAAGGAGAAACAAACTCTGATTACATCAATGGAAATTATATTGATGTGCGTATACTGATATATTCAACAAACATAGCATTGTGTTCTAAGAGGCAGCTTTTACTATTCTCACATTATTCATTGTTTAGCAGCTAATATCAGCTGCTAAACATTTTTGGACAGTACTGTCTTTGGAAGATAGGTGTACACTAAAGGAAACAAGTAGTTGTGTTAGTTTTGTCAACAGACAAATCAAAAGAGTATTTTATATTATATATTTCCTCAAACTGTCAATAGGCTGAAACTTTGCCAGCAATGCTGTATGGCTACTTTGCCTACTAGTGCTTATCTGGGCTAACAAAATGTTATTTTCACTTTCTGTCAACAGCTTGGCATCATTCCACATTTAAAAGAAAGCTGTTTGCATATTAATGTGACAAAACTCTGTAATGCCTAATGCAGAGATTTGCAATCTCTTGTCATCTCTGCACTTTTAAGTTGCCTTCAAAGTATATTCTGCAGCTGTTAACCAGTACTTCCAATGCAAGCAAGACATTTCATTAAATATGTAGGCTCTTTAATTATTGAAGGTGGCTTCTTTGTTCATTCTGCATCATGTTAACTTAATGTTTTACATTAGAATAAATTCTTTAAGAGACAAGATGGTTTTGGTTGAAAGAATGAACTCAAAAGTAGAATTGAAAATCATTACAAAGTCAATACTGTCTAAAGTCATAAATCTATGGATAGCAAAGATAATTATTTCATTATTTGCATGGAGTGCTAGGTGTTTGGCTAAGTAAAACAAGTGTCACTTTATAAGAAACAGCATCTGCTAAAGATCTCTATTTACATCTGAGAAAATGGTGTCACAGTTTGCAGTTCAAATATAGCAACCAGTGTAAAACAGGAATGTAAGAGATGTTTTTCTCAAAATTCAGAAGAGCTAGAACTGTACAAGAAAAGTAGGTTTCTTCAGTTAAACAATCTGAAGTTGTAACTGTCTGATAACTCCCATTGATGCTTGTTAGTATGTTCAATAGCTATTAAGTGAAGCTTAGATTTCTGCTCAGTCCCTTGCTATTTGAAAGAGTAGCACATTCACCAGGAGCTAAAAGCATATGTGGAAATTCACTTAGACAGCTCACTAAACTCTGAGGGGAGTAATCTCTGTAGGGAATCTCTCTGAAGGGAGTCATAGAAAGCAAGTGAAAGTTCACACTGGGGAACTAGATTTGAATGCACTCTCAAACTTTCCAACATTCAGGATTGTTCTTGTTTTAGGCTAGTAGTGTGTGCTTAAGTTTAAAATGCTAAAAGATGCACAGTTTGCACCATACAGTTCTATTGGAAATACTTGTAAGAAAGCAGAATAGCAACCTGTTATTGCTTATGAAAGTACAAGAGGGATGGAAAGAATCATAGTATCATGGAATGGTTGGGTTGAAAGGCACATTTAAGATCACCTACTTCTATCCCCCTGCTATAGGCAGGGATACCTCTCTCTAGGCCAGGTTGCTCAAAGCCCCCATCCAGCCTGGCCTTGAATGCTACCAGGGAGGGGGCATCCACAGACTCCTTGGGCAACCTGTTCCAGTGTCTCACCACACTCACAGTAAAGAATTTCTTCCTGATATCTAGTCTAAATCTACCTTTTTCCAGTTTAAACCATTTCCCCTCATCCTGTTGCTACATACCCTTACATCCTAAAAGAAATAATGAGTGAGAACAAAAAGTATTTCCCTCATTCTTACCAGGTGGCTTCATTGCAAAGCTTGGAGTCTTGCAGACATATTCCAAAGACAACCATAAAACACAGCCTTTTTTGTTTATAATCTTGCTAGTCAGATTTCTTCTGGAAGTGTTTGTTTTTCTACTACAGAAGCAATTTTTCATTTGCATGGGGTTATTGTTGCGGTGTTGTCAGAATAAACATCTCAATTAGAGAATTTCACAAATATTATGAAGTTTTATTAGATAAAAGAAAAGTAGGCAGTATTTATTTAGTATTTTTCCCCATGCTTAATTTCTTCACTGGGAAATTGAAGCATTTAATCCCAGCCACTAGGGATACTAGGTAGCACACCACAGAAAAAAATAAGCTCTGGTTGATAGGTGCCTGAGCTCACAGAATTCCAGATTTTGGTTCAATGATATCTAACCAATTATATAATTCATGTTATATTTTCTGTAATATTCAAGGTATTTTCAAATGTTTTGCGTCTTTTCCAGCAGCCTTCCATCACTACTGTCCCTCTTGCACTTTTACAAAGAAATTGCAGTGACATGCAAGCTTCAGCTTTTATTTCTTCCTTTGGAAGGCTGACAATGGAATCTCACCACTTTTGAAAGATTAAAACTGGCATAACTGATTTTATCAACATATTTGCTCGTGATCTAAACCTTTGGTGACACTCTCATAACATCAGAAATTCAAACACAATAAAAATGGTATTGTTCCCTATTGGTAACCTATTCAGTGTTGCAAGAATCCATAGCATATTAGTCTTTATTGCACAGCCAGCTTAAGTTGCCCTTGTTATCAGAGAAACATTGAATTCCTTTATGGTGTTTTTTTTTATTTAGAGGTGAAGAAGTGTATTCATACTAAACCATTTAGTTGAAGAATTTACCCTCTTTTTCATGTTTAGAAATATATCATAAATAAATCACAGAGGACAGAGTGAACATTTCCCCACCCTTCCTGGGGCTGAATGCAAATTGAGCATTCTGTAGCTGTTAAAAAAAGGGATAGGCTTTGCACTAAATAGCAATAGCTTAAAGGTATATCTCAGCCTCCTTGAGCATCTCACACCATTAGCTGCAAGTGCTAGAGAGGATTTCATGCTGTTTATTTTCAACAGATCCAACACAGGACTTCGGGAACATATTACTTCTGTCCCCTAATGTACAAGGCTGCAACTTTAGCATCTTACAGAAAACACATTTGCTTCTTGTTCTTCCTCTCCCTTGCCTACCGGAAAGAACATCTGCATCTAGCACATTACTTTTATTGCTATAATTTTTACTGAAAATTACTGTAAATGAAGTTTTACGTAAAGCAACATAGGCAAGTTACATGCTGGTTATAATTTTTTTTCCCTGATTTCTTTTAGGGTTATCACAGGCCGAATCACTACATTGCTACACAAGGTAAGCATTATTACTCCCTAATTTTGGTTACATAAAGCTAAGAAGTCAATATTGAAGACAGAGAAGGTTCAATCACTTAAGTAAAAGCAAGCAAACTGAATTGTTATAATCCAATTTTCACATATATCAAGTAAGCAATCCTTTACCTTCATGTTCAAGTACAATTTGGGGTAGAAAAGCAACATAAAACCTTTCAGCAGAAGTTACTAATGTTAGCATATTGTTGTTCATGATAGAGGAAGTAAGTCATGGTAAAAACCCTCAATAAACTTACTAGGTGGACAGCAGTGGCAGGAAAACTGTCAATCCTAGAACTGTATTTTCTAGTGTTGTTTGATGACATGTAGGCTCCAGGTTTTAATATAAAATACTTTAATTAGTAAGTTTTAGTAGAGTACCCACAGACACATTACTGTGGCAGGGGAATTCTTCAAAGGGATCTAGAAAGAGAAATTTATAGAACATCTTTCAAAAACCTGCTTGTGAATAATAGCTTCTTTCTTTGTTAACAAGGGAGTTTTCAATTTTTACCCATCTTCAAATACATAATTTGCCCATTTGGATGTAATTCTTACATGCTTTTAAGCCAAGCTTAGAGCTGGACCAGGCAAGAAAGTCTTCTGTTTAATCACATTATCCAACCATATGCCATTCTCTTGCCTGTACTTGGATACCACTGCTCAGAGAGAATCTCCTCTGCAGTAGGTTTTATGTAATGAAGCTTCCTATATTTTCCAGTGGACCTGAAGAAGTTGAGCTACATCCACATATGTTATTTCAAAATGTGCCCAGAGTCCTAGCTGGAATACTGGGAATCATAGAATCATAGAATTACTCAGGTTGGAAGGGACCTCAAGGATCATCAAGTCCAACCACAGCCTCACCATAGTACCCTAACTCTGACAACCCTCTGCTAAATCATATCTCCAAGCACCACATCCAGAGATGGTGACTCAACCATCTCCCTGGGGAGCCTATTCCAGTGTTTAACCACCCTTTTCGTAAAGAAGAGTTTCCTAACGTCCAACCTAAACTTACCTTGGCGCAACTTGAAGCCGTTTCCCCTCATCTTGTCACCTATGTCACCAGTGAGAAGAGACCTACCCCGCTCTCACAGTAAGCACCTTTCAGGTACTGGAAGAGAGTAATAAGATCTTCCCTCAGCTGCCTCTTCCCCAGACTAAACAGCCCCAGCTGCCTCAGCCTCTCCTCATAGGGCTGATTTTCCAAGCCCTTCACTAGCCTCGTTGCCCTTCTCTGGACCTGCTCCAGTACCTCCACGTCCTTTCTGTACTGGATTTAGAGGTGATATACACTTTTTTAATGATGTTTTATCAAGGCACAGAGTTCTCTGTGTCAAATAAGAGCTCTTATTGTGCATGTCTTTGCCTCCTAAGTAACCCAGTGTCTGCAGCCTCCAGTCCCCACTTTTATCAGTGGGAAGCTATTTAACTCTGCCATTCTGTACTTCAGAGCTGAACAGTCTCAGATAACGGTTGGGAAGGATGTAAAACCACCTCGCCGCTATCTTACAGTTTTAGACCAGAATTAAAATTTGAGGTCTTAGAACTTGAACCATTTAAATGTGCTTCTTCTTCCAGGTCTATTATCCAATCACGACATCATTCATTCCACAGTCTTTCTTTGTATGAATAAGAGAGAATACTAGGACAAAAACAGAGCGTGTGATTAGTTCACTCTGGGCCTTTATAGCATCTTCTTCTGAAAAGAAATGGATCAATCCATTTAACCTTTACCTGCTGGTATTGTTTTTTCACCTGAATCCTGAAATGAAAAGATATATATTTGGCATTTTACTTGCAGATTTTTTTTTTTTTTTCATCAGGATGTTTCCCAGATCTTTCTGACAGCTTTCTGGTAGACCAGACATCTCTGAAGCAAGTTCTAATGGTTTCAGTGCAGATTTATCACTCATCACAATACTTGGATAGTAAATAGAAGCCTAAGGCATTTGTGCTTTAGCTTTTAAAGCCAAGCATTGGGTGCAATATTGTGCTAAAAGTCTGTGTACTAGGTCCAGTAGCAACCCTCAACGTATTATTAGCCACACTTATTTTGTGTTATAGTGTCAGGGAGAAGTACCTAGCCAAGGTGAATAAGAATAGTACAAATTTTCTTCCAAGATGTAAAGGAAATGTAGCTATTTCAGCTGTTGTTCTTTCATGCAGGTACCATCAGTTTTTTCTGTAGATGCAGTGTAGAGCATGTCAGGGTACCTAACCACTCCCACAGTGGAATGAGTGAGAAAGTGACTGTCTTGTGATCATAAAATCTATTTTCAAATGGGCATACAATTTAAATAAATTTAAAAATTGTCAGCGAATTTTCTGAGGGATTGCCTCTTCAACATCTTATTTTTTAAGGCCAGCTAGGAAGCAGATCTGTAGCTCCATTTTGGGGGAAATGAAGAGCACTGATTTAAAGAGGTTTATGTTCTCTAGGTGGCTCTGATGAAGAATCATGAGAAATTTTTTTCCTTTCTCTGTTTCAGCTTTCCAACCTATAGAATAATGTTAAAAATACTCATCTGCTTTAAAAAGCTTTCTGCAGTCTTGTGGTAGATGCAGCTCTGTCAAGGCTACTTACTATGATTCTCCAGCATTCCCAGTTCCTGACAAAGCCTTTGCACAACAGTCTCTGCCTTTTGCAAAGGTGATAAGGTAACTGGAATAATCTCTAAAACTCCTTTAAAGCTCTATATTAACTATGAAAGGAGAGGCATTTGTTTCACACTCCCAATAGAGGATGCCTCTTTATGTCTTCTGCAGTAGTAAGCCTGTCAGGAGCGATAGCTTGTAGATATAGCCAAAGATGTTCGTGCTGTTTCAGAACACATTTTCATGTAGATATGTATAAACACATCAATTAAGCTCCGTGTTTAATTCCCTTGATGTCTACTTTACATCAGTCTTAAAATAACTTCTCCCATTCTCCCTTTTCTTCTCCACCACATCTTTCACAGGTGCACATAACTATTGTTCTTTGAAGGAAAATATCATTACATGAGTCAGTTTGAAATCTCTGAGGAGTTAGAATGATTGATATTTAATTTTCCTATGTTCTTCTTAAGCTGCATTCAACATATCAAGTGTTAATGAGCAAATATAATTGTTTGAAGTAAAAAAGTAGCAAATGTAATCAGTTTGTAATAGACTACCAATTTGCTTTTAACAGAGCTGAGAGTTGCATAATCACCTGTTTATTAAAGTGTTACTGTCTTCCGTACTAACCAGAGTTTGACACACGGACTAGTATCTTCCATCTTGGCATTCTTAGGATACTGCTGCTAATGTTAATAAGGGAGATAAACGTAATTTAAAACACTTAACTAATAATCTAAAAAAGGATTTGCTTGTGTTGTAAGAGTAATACATCCAAATGCGCATTTTGAATTGGAAAATTAGCATCATTTCTCATCTATGTAGTAAGTATAATGTGACTGATAAACTGAAATTGCATCTAGTAAATCACCATACTTTTGGTGATCTTCTGTAATTGGTATCAACAGATGGATTCCACACCTGAGACACTGAGATTAAAGAGAATCCTTTGTCACAAGCCAGAATATTGGGTCATGCAGAACCAGCAAGCTGTGGCAATTTGAAATTCTCTGCTTTGTTTTATATATCCCTTGTTTGTGTGGATATAATTCTTTAAAATCCTTTTATGGCAGACTGTCGAGCTCTTTTATGATCTGTTCAATTTACTACTAGCTAGTTGTTTCTTTTCTCCAGAAGTTAGGTGATCAATGAATTTTAGCCAGGTCCTTTAGTGAGTGCAGTAGGTTTAATATCTGTACAGTACTTCACGCAGTCTGCAGAATTTTCCTATTATCAGATGAATGTTGTTGATCTTGTACATTTCACCCTGATTGCCAAGCAGGAAAAATTAATCTTTTCAATATTTACATGTTATCTTTTCTTTGAAGTTCACATAGTCAGTTGAGCTATGACTTCTTCTAACAAGTCTCTACCAGTGGTTTTGCAATGCTTCCTCCACCGCTGCACCAGCAACCCTAAATGAGTGACAAATGAATATTAATATAGTGCTGCAGCATCATTCATTACCATTTCTACCAGGGCTGGTTTTCAAGCAGATCAATCATGTGTGAAGAAGCAGTTACCCACGTGCAAGCTGCACTTCTTTATTCATGAAGTACATTCATCTCAGCATCTCTGATTTTTCAGTGATTTTTCAGCATTCCACACCAAAGCAGGAATTGCTTTGATTGGTGGAGGGGTAGCCCTGCAAAGGAGCAGCTGCCAGGAGCCATTGTTCTTCATGTGGCAGCAATGTTCTGATGTGGTGGGGTTGGAGCCAGGAAGCTGCCTGTAGGGAGCACAGTGAACAAGATGAGCAAACAGGGTGTCATGCATCAGAAAGGCATGTTCACACAGGGCAGGTGAGCAGGGAGGGCAAGAAGGGCCCTTCTGCTTGGAAAACTGAATCACCTACAGGTTGCCTCCCAGGCAACGAATCTAGCCATGTTCTCCATTAGGCAAAAAGCTCTGGCAAGAAAGAGTATGATGATTCAAATGAAGTGCCCGCCTAAAAATATGTGGTTCATGTACCTGGCTGCAGCAAGTGCCTGAGCCTGTTGCTGCCAGTGAAGAGCAGCCGGAATTCCACCTGCATGTGTTGTGAGCAGGTGGATGATGTGCTGAGTATGGTCGTGGAGCTTAAGGAGGAGGTGGAGAGATTAAGGGGTATCAGAGACTGCTGCTAGAGATAGATTGGTGGAGTAACTCTCTGCTGAATCTGTGAGGAAGACACAAGGGTGATACCATCCAGATGGTGGTGGACCCCCTCCTCTCAGATCATCGAGCAGATGGAGGTGATTTAAGGGAAGAGGAGGGGTGGAAACAGGTCTCAGCTTGGCATCATAAGCTACCTCCATCCCAACCTACCTTGGCTCCCCTTCTGCCCCTGCATAATAGGTTTGAGGTTCTGGAACTTGAGGGAGAGGTAAGTGAGGATGT